GGAACTTGACTTAAAAGCAAAGCAAAGAAAATGCCCAAAGCCAATAATAATTTTAACATCAAAAGCAGTCACACAAAATGTGGACAAAAATTCTTGTAAAGGAAGAGCAAATTAACAAATTACCTGACACAAACATTCTTAAAGTAGAAAGAGGTTAACAAATTATACTTCTGCTTTATACATAGCTGATTTACCTTTTTTTTTTTTTTTGCACCAATTGTATTAACTGAATGACACAGGAAAGTGGATTTTTTTTTACAAAAAAGCCCAATAATAATAATTTAATAATAAGCCCCTACTAAGCTCAAAGTGATAAAGAGTCCTGGTGTCACAGCAGTCTGATAGAATCATTCATGTGGCCCTAAGGAGAGTGAAAGCGGGTGTGTCAAATCAGCCATGATGGGCCCTGGAAGCAGTTAAAACTTTATAAGGGAAAGCACACACAAGAACAATGCCTGTTCCAGCTAAAAATGCTGTAGAGTCTTGCTGCTGTTCATTAACCATGAGGGAGCTGGCAGAATCCCCTGAGCGAATTCTGACTTGGAATACTCTAGGGAGCACTCATTCTTCTACATCTCATGACTTCAGAATATATAGCTGGCATTAGATAATCTCTTATTGACACATTTCTTTTCATTCGGAGCGGACAGCAGACTTCTCTTATTCTACCTGCTAAATACCAGCTGTCAAGGGCCTGTTTAAAAATGAAAGGACTTATCACCTTGTGTAAATGACAAGATTAATAATGTCTTGGGTTTCTGAGAACTTTATTCCACTTGAAGACCATGTTAGGCCAGGCCAGGAGTTTGAAGGAAATTGTGTGACCTCCTAAATATGTCTGATTAGAACACATACGTGTATCAAATGTTAACCCAAAGCACACATCCAGATCATTCCAATTATCAGGAGTGGAAAGAGAGGTCTAGTTTAAATCTTTAAAGTCAACTTATGTGAATTGCACCTCTCTGATAATAACCAATATGATTCCATCCTGAAGAAGCATTAGAGAAAAACTGCTGAATATGTTCAAAGATGAGAACAGGTATTGTTTGAGGTGGGTATGGGAACTATGGGTAGCCTTGCCTTTGATCTGGATGAAGGGTAAAGTAATATGGGGGTTAGTAGGAAATTTCTCAAAGCATGGAAGAAGTAAGAACAGAGTGTATGTGCTAAACATCCACCAATCAAAATGCTTTGTAAACATAAGGTATCTACAAGACTTCAAAGGAAATGATAGGGATATATCCAGATGTTTGGCCTACTTGACAGTACACAAACGGGTGCTTCTTGATATAAATGAAACCTGTGCATAATGGATAAGCTATTTTCATGCATTCCCTGCCTATGTGGTGCTCCCAAGGACCTAGTCTGAAAGAGCTGTCCTCACCCAGCTCTCTGTTTTTGGTCCTGCACTGCTCTACCTTTCAGTGCCAGCTCTTCCCTCTGAAAGCAATCAAGGACAACTTCAGATTGCTAAACTGTAAAAATAGTCAAGCATTGTCTGTCTCAGTAAAAATTTCCAGCTAGCTGCTGTACCCCAGCAGTAGAGCTATACAGCATTGTACAGAAACTTTAACGAATAACTAGGATGTCAGGGATAAAGAGCCTTGGGTGTTTTTAACAGATCTACTATTTTATGATTTGATTGAGATTGTGGTCTGAATTTACTATTACCTTTTGTGTGGCCCTCATTTATAAAGATAAATCACTATAGTTAATGCACGACTTTCAGCGATAAACAGAGATATCAGCCAGAAACTGAGGCTACTTAAAAAAGGATGGCTTAGCAAGGATGTCAGTGCTTTCAGAATTTCTGTCTCTGAAAACATCCATGCAGTAAACTTTGAAAACATGAAATCACATAGACATCTGAAAATCACAAAACACGAATCTTTCTAGGCAGCAATTTACAGAAAGCAAGCACCACAAAGCTCACTTTGGTCTGAAAAAAAATATCTGAAATAACATAAGTCACAGAAATCTATTGGGAAATTTAAACTCAGGAAAATCCCCTCAGATAAAATGCTTATAGAAAGGTACTGGGAAAATGTTAATTAAACGACCTTTGTGTTTATTTTTACGATACAAAACAGATTACATCCTTCATTAACTTTACTTAAAAACCCAAATCGATGCTGTTTCTAAGAACTTCTTCATCTCTAAACAAATGAAACATGGGTTTTAGCCATCAAGCATGTTTGGGCAGTCTCACTACTATCAAATTCTTTTATCATCTTAGCAAGCACATCATTTTCATTTACAGAGTTCCTTCCTATCCTCCATATCATTATACAACTGACTCTAATTGATTAAACATGACCCTTAACACTGGATTTTTTAAAAAAAAATATATATGCCTTTGCAAAAGGGAACTATAATTCATACACTCTTGGCTTGTTCTGGGTAATCTCTTTTCTTCTTTGTTAAGTGACCTAATTATTGCCACGACTAGATTGCAGCTCAAAGACTCACCTGAAATTCTTCCTTTCTAGGGACCAGGACTTATACCTGTCCTTTTATTAAAATTTGTTTTACAAACTCGAGAAAGGGCAATCAGAGCAAGGAGAAACACTTTCAGCAGTTCCTCACAGAGTGCTGCATTTGTTTGTTGTACAGGTGAGTTGGTGTCGTTAATTTTAATAATTACTGCTGATCTAGGATCTGCCTCTGTGTCTGGATACTAAATAATATCTCACACAATGGGAGTGTTCATTATGTGATGAGTTGTGATTATTCACCATTTGGCAACTCCTATGCCTCGTGGAAAAGAAAGTGAAAAAACAGACCTGGAGAATCTCTTTAGTCAGCTCTTTTATCACTGTACCTAGTCCAACATTCACATTTCAAAGCTGTCTAGAATTCTGAGTTTTAATTGGCTTTTAGAAATATGCTTATGAGTTTATAAATGAAGACGCTTATCATAAATGCCTACACAATTTGAGTGTATGTCCTCTTTTGTCTTGTCAACTGGGCTAAGTATAGTTGTATACATATAAAACTATCACATAAATCTGACTTTTCCCTGACTTTCCTTTCTTGTTGTTTATGAGTGAACTTACTTGACCATGTACTATCAATTTCACAATTATGTTATTTGATATGCACTCTATTACCATCTTAGATTTCTGCTATCATAATATAGAACTTTAAAATGAGTACTTAAAGAAATAAGTATGTGTCTAATATTGGCTTTATATGTCTTTCCTGATTAACTATGTTCCCTGGTTCTGCAGTTAAAATAAGTAAACATGATATTCATTGAAGTATGAAGCCAGCATGTTTTCATTTGAAAACATGCATTATACAATGTGTACTTTAAAAGTAACCATGACAAAAGTATAAATACCTACTCTATTGAACATCCTAAGTCACAGCTAGAAGGAGCAAAAACAGTTTGCCTTTTTAATGCAATCAAGATTTCCAATCACAATAGTATATTTATTATAAAACATTAGACCCATAAATATTAAATGAATAAAATGACGATAAGTCAACTTGTGTCGGCTACAAGTCCCATTCTTAAATTACCATAGCACCGATTCTACAAAAGTTTTATCCAACGAAATAGCTCCCTTTGTAAGTAACTATGGATAGCAAATTAGTTTTATAGAATTGCACTATTTCATCTTAAAGCCATCTCTTGAGCTCCTCTTGTTCCTTTTTTAAGAAACGTAACATGGACAATTTACTTACAACACCTACGTATTTCCCACATGTACAAATAGTGGGTGCTCAAAAAAATGCTGTTGAGTGTGACAGTAACTCATATGGTTGAGTTAGGATATTTTCTGCCCACAATCAATAGCTAATTTAATAATGTTTTCCTTTGTCAATAATGCCTCTCGTTTTCTTATGGCAAAGGGAAAAAAAAAACAATTGATAGGTTTATTGTCTTTAATATATGTTGAAGATTTAAAAATGATTCCCATTTAAACCTAATTTTACAATTGACTACCTCTTATATACGTTAGCCAGTAAAAATTATCTGGTAGCTGGTAAAATGCCAAATAATAATCTCATAACGATGATTGAAAGAGAGTCTCAGACCACATGACGCTAGCTTTATTTAACAGCTTTCAATTGGAAACATCTAATTTAAACTTTTCTTTTTCTTGGTGGTGATTTCATAGTAGATTTGCCAAGCAACCATTTCAATATGGTCATGGAAACATATGTGATTTAGGTAACCATTGGGTTAAAAGAAATAAATGATTATAAAATGACTAAAGTCTTAACCAATGATGTTTATAAAACAAAAATTAACATGCTGAACCTCGTGTTATTTTAGGTATTGTCATACTAAGTTACAAGATTCGTAATCTAATTTTATTAAGTGCAAAATATGATTCATGATATTTTCATATCTTTATTTCATAGTTATTGTTATTAAAGTCAACCTCACTGCACAGTTCTCAATAATGTCACAAAGCGATTTCCAACAGTGATGTTTTTAAACTTTTTCACATATACCAAAAGGTATAAAAGAATATTTTGATTAATTTAAAAGCAAAAGTTCTCACTTATAATTAGACAACCAATACAAAATGCATAGTCATATAAATTCACACCAATATCATAAAAATACTTATATCCACTTGCTATTTTGAATAAAACCTTCCAATCTACCACTTCCAACTTCTGCATGAGTTAGCTGTTCTTGATTCACTCAGTACAATCTATGAATAGATCTACTGTGATGGTAAAGAAAAATGTAACAAATAGTAAACAATAAAGAAATAGTTGATTTTCAAATCATTCAATCATAGTAAGAAAACTGGAACATTGATGAAGGATCCCAGTATAAAGTGAATAAACTACCCAAAGAAAGTAGTCCTGAAAATGACTTTGTTCTGCATATTACATATCTTTGTGCAGTACCTTTCACCATATCAACAAACAGGCCACAAGGGTCTACTGCAGCTCAGTGTGATTTTTATTCTTCAGGCTTCACTGATACTTTAGTGCTCTCAAAGAAAGACAAGAAAACCTTTGCAACATACCTGATCATTTATCTGGCATGCAACGAGGTTGTGCTGATCATAACAGCCAGCGAACCTGATGTACTTGAGCCAGCTTCCTACATCTGGTTGACTGGCATCAATGCAGAACTTCACATTGCAAAACTCATCTAAGATCTGGAAGGAAGAAGATGAGAACAATCAATTGCCATACCGGTCCACTCATTAACATGCTGTGCTTAGTTACTCGAAAATGTCTCATGGAAATATATACTCCTCCTTTGAATCCTTGGAAAAAGAAAAGTCAAACAGCATGCACACTAACATTGGAGGAATAACAATAAGTTATCCTGGAAATGAAAATATATTGCTTTTTTTAAAAAAAGGAATAAAGCAATTGTAACTTATAAAAACTGATTAATTGGCTTTAAAACACGCTTGTTTCCTTATTATGCCTGTGCTATTGACTTAATATTATCCAATGTGATTTTTATAAAAAATAATATTGAATAGTATATATTAACATAATATTTGTAAACTAAACAGTCAATATTTAGGTCTAGATCACAGAACAGTCCATTTTTTAGATTTAGACAGTCTCCTTATTTAAGTGTACATTTTCACATTTTGGCACTTTAATTCAATTTGAAAACTTTAATCAAAATATTACCAAAATCTCTTCCCTAGCTTGCATCTCATCACCTTAAAACAAATCACATGCTTAATTGAAGGAGAGAATAAGATTTTTCTCACAGAGGCCTCTGAACAAAATAAGAAAAACAAATGAAAATAATTGACAGGTAAACATTCATGCAAAGTATGACACCCTAAGGTTTTAGATAAACATGTCAATGCATGTTAAAACATTATATTTAGAAAGCAAAATAACAAAATTGGCTTGTGAACAGGTAAAAATACATAAGACTATTTTAATACACTGACAATATCATATATAGTTTTGCATTGTTATTTTTCATGAGATTTCACATTTGACCTGTCTGAAATATTGATCATTATTGAGGACACCTACCAAACAAAAACTGAAATGGGAAAGTTCCAGTTTTAAGGTTTTGCGTACATAATCCAAGACATCCTGATTCACTAAGAGCAACAATGTCTTGAACATCAACAGTAAAAGGTGCAGAGTTGTTGGCCTGATGGTGACTAACTACAAAGGCTGGTAATGTTATGTCAATCAGTTAATTCAAAGTTAAGGAAGTTCCTATCAAAGACTAAACAACATAGTGCAGAACAAAAATTAATGAATTAAATAACCCTTACAGAACTCTGCTGGATGTATACCTACACAAAAGTTTAAACTAAGCTCTTGGGTATTATGACCAAAAGCAATTTTGCGTTGAATTCAGGTTATCACCCAATTGCAGATTCAAGTCATTAACTCACCATGAACTTCAAGAAGAACCCAGTGCTCTGAGGGTTCTAGTCAAGAGGCTCCAGGTATAAGCCCTTGGCCATGGAGCAACTGAAAGGCAACGAGTAGTCCCAGGATTTAAGAAAGAAAAATTGAGACAGAAGGTAAAGATAGTGATTGCTACACACACAGGCGCGCACAAACACAGACACAGGAATCCAAGTCTTCTTTTTCCAGAACACTCCTACACGTTAACAACCCCAACAGAAGTCTGCACATACATACCTTCTCTAGTGAGGACAAGTTTTAACAATTTGTGTTTTATAAAATTACAAACTTTAACATGTTGCTTCAACTCCCAATGCTGAAAAACTCAAAGGGCAACTTGAGACTCACTTTCCTTCCCAGATGTTGAAAAGGCACATAAATAACAATAGCAAGGAACATTTTTAAATAGTCAAAATTGAGTTGTGTGTTGATTTGTTTGGTTTCTGGTTGATCTTTTGTTTGTTTGTTTTCTTGACTAGGAGAGAGAGAGAGAGCGAGAGAGAGCAAGAGAGAGAGAGAGGCAGTTCTACTGACACACCAGAGAAATATTTAATAAAGGAAATAGGGTGAAGTCAGTGAAATGCAACACCAGTTCCATTTCATATTTGCAGAAAGAGGTGGAAAACTTGTTAATTTCAAAGTCAAGAAGCATCTATCCCCTTAGCTCGCAAGCCTTCTCTTTCGCCGCGGCAGGGAATTAAGGATTACATATAGTGCACATAAAAATTCTAGGTGTAATTTTATTCCGTGTTAACATCATTGCCATTGCCACTGTCAACAGCAAAGTTAATTTTTAAAAAGGTTCATTTCCAAAGAATGTCTTTTCACATAATCTGGAACATGATTATTCAAAGATTTCACCAACATATTAACTTTCTTACTCCCAATATTCCTGCCCCAAGACAAAAGCTGCACTTTCTCCTGAACCGTCCCCCACCCCCCATGGGTGAACTATCCGCTTTTGATTTGCTAGCACAACTGCATTTGTCTCCCAAATGTCTTAATCGTCTCGGAAATCTCGAATAAAATACAGTAACACACATCTTCCATCATTTCATCTAACACACTCCAGTGTTTTTAAAAGCTGTCAAGCTCCAAAGATAGGTTTAAAAAAAATACTTTAGGTGGACTTTAGAGAAAGGCCCTTTCAAAAACCCAACAGCAAAAGGAAAGGGGGAAAAAAAAAAAAACTGCTCCCCACAATCTAGCCAAAGGGTCCGAATGTGACTTTCTCGCGAAGCAGCGCACGATGTTGGACAGCAAAGCTGCTACTTGGCACGGTGGGGCTCGGCCGAAAGCCGCTCCAAAGTCGCGTGGCCAGTGCCAGGAATTCAGATGTTGGCAACCCCACCTTCTGCGGCCCCGATACCGCCGGACAGACCCGCGGAGGGAGGGCGAGGAGGAGAAGAGCGCGCGGGAAAGAGGCCGACAGCCGGCAGAGAGACCCACCGAAGGCCGGACGACCCGCCCCGAGACGCGTCCAGACCGCACCGTTCCGCAGGAGGAACCAGGAAATCGCCGGGCTCAGCGACGCAGATAAGCGGCGGGGCTCGGCGAGCGCGCGGCGCGGCCGGGAGGAAGGGGCGGCCGGGCGCGGGGGGCGCCGCGGAGCACCGTGCCCGGCAGGAAACTGTCCCGAGTGACAAACTGTGCGCATCGCCAAGACTTTTTTTTTTTTAAAGTGAGTTCTCTTACCTTAAGATTTCTATGGCCTCAACTCAGCGATAAAAGGCAATCACAGAAGAATTAAAATAAACAAAATAAAATAAGCAGCAGCCCCCAGCTCTCCTGCACGACAATCCTTTCAAACGATCCCCAGCAACAACATTTCGAGATGTTTAAAAAAAAAAAAAAAAAGCCTCGCGTCTCGGTTTCCAAATGTGTCTCTGATAACTTTGTCCGTCTCTAGGATCTGCTCGCCCGGACCACGCGTTTCAGATTTATTGTCCGCCAACAGTGTGATTTTAGGACCAGAAATGCAGTCTTCTCCCGGCTGGGTGACCCGGGTTTGGTGTGTTTTGGCTTTTTTGCCCCTTCCTAAATGAGCTCGGAGCTATTCCTCCTGGTCCACATCACCTCCCTCTTTTCTCACTTTCTCTTGCTCTTATCAGCCCGATGTGTAATGAAAGTTATCTGAAACCCACTAAAACTTCTTCCAGGTCTCTCTCCCCGTTCCAAGGGGGGGAAGCGGCAGGAGGAGGAGAGCAGGAAGGAGAAGGTGGGGGGCCCGCGGAGGCGAGGGGCGCCCCAGCCCTGCTCTGCTCCGCCGCCGCGCCGGCCCGGGTCCGGGACCCTCACGGGATCGTCCCCTTTCGCCACTCCGCGCCCGGCCGCCGGGTTTCTATTTCATGAACTGTCTCTTTAAAGAGGATCTGCTCGGCCATCCAGAAAGAACCCGGGGCGAGGGAGAAAGGGAGCTATCTCCCGCCGCCCAGCCCGGAGTGATCGGAAGCCAGACGGTAAATTTTTAAAGTGACAGCAGCCTCCTCTGGCGGGAGAGGTCACAAAAAGGTCGCCAAGACCCAACTCCTATAGGGACAGCCTGATTACGGATGCACCATCCCCCTTAAACATGTAGATTTGTCCGCGTAAACAACCAATGGGGAGATCTCGCCGGGCAGGATTTCTTTCCCGAGGGAAATATCCTCTGGATGTCCTGAAAGCACAAGTGTGTGTGTGTGTGTGTGTGTGTGTGTGTGTGTGAGAGAGAGAGAGAGAGAGAGAGAGAGAGAGAGAGAGAGAGAGAGGGCGAGCGCTCTGGGGGATGGGGTGGTGAGGTGGAGAGGTGCTCGCAGGGGGGGCGAGGGTGTGTGCTCAGAGGCCCGCGGCGGGCAGCGTGGGGGGCGCTAGCGGGGGCGAGGATGGGGCTGGGGTAAAGCGACGTTGGCTGGCGCTAAAAGCAAGTAGTTCCGAAGTCTCAGAAAACAGCAGCCTCAGAGTGAAAAGTTGACCCACGCATCTCGTTTGCAGTACTGGGCTCTCGCTCGCTCTCTCTCTCCCTCTCTCTCTCTCTTCCTCCCTCTTTCCCTCCCTCCCTCCCCCATATATATATTTATATATATATATATTTAATTTTCACTAACACGTGTACTCTCATGTATCCCCTCCGTTCTTACACTTAGCAGAAGGGCGTGCTGACTTCGAATCCTACGTTCCCTAGAAGAAGAAATGTTAGAACCTGCAACACGATTTGCATAGAACCCCTGTGCAGCAGCCTGGTAGGAGCTCCGGGAATGGGACAGGGGGTCTCCTGAGTTCTGCGTCACTCAGGCACCATGAACACGCCACAGTAGACAGAAGCAATGTGACAACTCAGATCATTTTTAAACGCTGTATCCAGTGATCAGCACTGTCCCAGGTTTCCTGACTCTCTCAGATACCGGTGTACTGGGTCGGTTTGTATCCACGCATGGCAGAACGACACTGGGAAAGAGAGAGGGCGAGTGCGTGGCACAAAGTTTGCGGGTTTACTCGTAGCCAACCTGTTAGCTTGTAGCCAATTTAGTGAAACCTACAGGTTAAATAGAAATAAATGCTTTTTTATTAAAAAAAAAACATTCATAAAAGCAAATGGACAAAATCCAGCCGCTTCCCAGCTCAACAATAGAAAGTTAAGCCCCGCACGGGAGTCTGGAGGGGTTTGCGGGGCAGAGGCGGAGCGAGGGGCTGCGGCGCGCTTCTGCCCAGCCTCAGCTGAAGTCCGAGGACAGCACGAGTGCCACCCACTCCGCTTGCTGCACGTGCAAACGAACGTGTG